TCTCAAAGTCATGATAAGGCGCTATATCAAATGCAAGGATTATTATAATATATGGGTTTGTATTTTATAACTCAACACAAATAGGGTCTAAATCCCAGCAAAATGGTAGGAATTTGAATATGTGGCAGCAACTCCCTCCGACCCAATCTACTTTTGGAATTTTTCCGAAAGTTGGTGTGATGTGTGTGACTTGTTATCAGAAGACATTCACTCTTGGATCTTACTTAAGGAATCCTGTTTGAAAATTGCACGTTTTAGACTCCAATCTCATTTCAGTCTGGACCTTTTAAACCTTCCAGGAAATGCTGTGCAGATCAGTGATGTTTTTATCATCTTGAATTCTTACTGAACTGATGAATGAAGAATGTGGAGTCCTGTAGCTCAGTGGTTAGAGCACTCGCTTTGCAAGTGAGAGACCTGAGTTCAATTCCAGGCAGGGCGAAACCTTGGGCAAGTTTCCTTACTCCACACGCCTAATAATAATCCCTCCAAAAACCAAAAACAATAATAAAATTGGTCATTTTCAATCTACGACTGTTTGTGGGACATTGCTGTGCGCAATTGGCTGCCGCGTTCGCCCACAAATATACAGTCAATTCACTTTACAGTGTGTTCTGTGAAGCGCTTTGGGACGTCCTCCTGACGTGAAAAGCGCTATATCAAATGCAAGGATTATTATTATTATTATTATAATGGCCACAGATCATAACAATCAGAAGTAGAAATATTTGTTTTGCATTGGTTGAGGTGCATAGATTCCAAGTTTAACAATCTATGTAACGGAAAATAATTTGGCAATATCTTTTGTAAATATAAGAAACCTTTTGAATTATGATTTATTTCATGCAAACAATTTTTTTGAAAACAAAACTTTCCAATTGTTAAAACAATGTGACATTTTAAAAACAAGCAGTCTGTCTTGCTATTGAAGAAATTGGTGTCAGCATAGTATTATGAATTGAAAAGCTCCATTCATTGCATCATGAATCTTTCTAGTTTAGTTTTAAAAGCTGCTATTTGTATCGTATTAGGAATGGAGTCTGAGAACAAAAAAAACACTTTGATCTTCAGTTAACAGCAGAAGTACCGGTAGCTGATAATACACCTGCCAACACCTGTTGTCATTGGGTCTTGTTGAGGTCAGAAGGGCAACAATTAGCAGTGAACCTTGCCCAAGTCCCAGATCGAGCCATGTTGTGTCAAAGAGAAGAAAAAGGTTAAACAAGCAGTGTGTACCGTAAAGCCTTGGGAAATGTACTTTGTTTGTCCAAAGATTGAGTTAATGTCTAAAGGGCAAAGGGGCTGCAATGCCTTCAAAATAAGAAAAGAAAAGGGTCAGATAGAGAATAGAACATTAAATTTTATCTGCAAAGGATATTTGACTGATTGTCAGGAAGACAAAATAAGGCCACTCTTTGCTGATGTTAGAGATTATCTGGATTTAATCTGGCTTTTTTTGTTTCCACAGTATTGAATCGCAGGGATTTAGCTTGTACTTCTCTTGATGTAGTACAGATTCAAAGGGGTTAATCATTGATAAATACACAAATTATCATAACCTCAGGTTATATCAAAAACAATAATAAATTGATCATTTTCAATCTACGACTGTTTGTGGGACATTGCTGTGCGCAATTGGCTGCCGCGTTCGCCCACAAATGTACAGGCAATTCACTTTACAGTGTGTTCTGTGAAGCGCTTCGGGACGTCCTCCCGACGTGAAAAGCGCTATTTCAAATGCAAGGATTATTATCTGCTGAGAATCTGGAGTTGCAGGAAAGCGTTTTTACCAATGTGAAAGCCCTGGCTATGCTACATGCATAGTATCTACAGCATCACAACAGGCCATTCAGTCCCAGTAGTTTTCTATATGCTGGTCTCTATATGCCACATGAGCCTCCACCCATCTATTTCCCCCCCCCCCCCCCCATACCCTTCTAATAATTGTCTTCAAAATGATAGAAAATAAGAGACTGGCCATTATAACAGATTATTTTGTTACAACTTTAGGAACTTTAAGCATGTTACACCATACTTTTACTTTTTGAATTATTTCTTTATAAAGGTTGGTTTCACGCAGTGCTGATTATCCTTTGAGATTCTGTGTTGGAGAGAAAGTGAATGCTACCTTCAGACAGAAAGATGTAACATCTCAATCTTGAGTCAGTCAACCAGAAATCAAATGCATCTTGGGTTTCAGTTAGCTCAGAAGATCAAAGCAAAGGACCACTGTGTGAAATTATTTTGTCTCTAAACACAAGCAGCTGTCATGTTGGGGGAGAAGGAAGAGCAACACATTTGAAAAACAAATGACAAAAGAGACAATTTTAGAAAACTAGTAAGGGAAAGTAACAGTTAAACATGTGCTTCTTGTAGAAATGAATGCTACTATTCTAGTCTCCAGAGTAATTTCAGATTTTTAATCTCTAATTTTTCTTCTCTCACAGGTGGGTGGGGTTAGAGAGGAATTAAGAAATTGCAATCATTCGGTGGGTGTGCTGTGATTAGCATGTTTTTGAAGTCTCCTTGTTAACTTTATTAAGTTTGCAATCAATCACTCTTTTTGTTAAAGCTTTGCAAACTTGTATTTACTTCAGTGACCAGAGTAAAAGCAGAATGAGAATTGGAGCAGTTTTAGATGTGTTCAATTGGTATTCTTGTCTAGTCTCCCATGATCTGATGGGATTACTTCTTATCATGGTGATTAATTCAGACACGCAGTCTATGAAAGGTTAATACCATTTGTGATGAATTACTTGTCTGTTTTGTTTTTTGCTCGTTTGCCTTGGTAATATAACCCATTGTATTGTCACCAGCCTCAGTGTCTGCAGTGATGCATAACAATTTACAAAGCCATTTCCTGCCATAAAATGTTAAAGGAAAACCTTTGTTTTTTTAAAAAGTTTTGCATGTTAGTGGATATGATCATAGCATAATACACTGACTAATGGACTGTGTGTCAGTATTTTTTAGTCTTATTTCGAACATTCCTGATTCATATTTGGTCTGTGTCTAAATCCGTTTTACCAAATGTGTTTACTGAACAGATTTGAGTGTTAACATGACTAGGGATGCATTTGATAAAACTGCAGTTAATTCCATCTCCTTAATTCCATCTCCTTAATCCTGTAATAACAGTGACTAAAATACACGCGACCTATGGATTCTCTTATATGCTTCCACCCTTCTTTTACACTTAACAATGGCCAATATTTCCTGGCTGTAGTCTATTTCAACTAAATCCATGTTGCTGTACTATACCCGTCTAGCAAGCTTTCCCACTGCTTGTCCAGCTAGGACCACCTTACTACTTATTAAGGCTTTGGCTTGCAGGGATAATGCGAGTTGAGTGGGAAGAGTCCCTGCCTCCAGTGACTGGTCTGCCCTTCGAAGTACTACCAATGAGCCAGGCTGTGCTGTTAGCCGCAGAACCCTGGAATACTGCGGACCTGCCTGGCTCAGCAACCGGACTACCGAGACAGTAGACTGCACAAACTCCTACTATACTTAAAGAAGTGTTATAGAGGATTGATTCTGACATTTTGTTGCCAAACATGTCACCTTGGAGTCAGTTCAGCTCCAAGGAGACCCCATTTAGCTCTCCCCACCCCCCCCCCCCCCCCCCCCCGGAGGATAATCACTGGTTGGTCATTTGACATCTGACAAGTGCGGGCTTGAGCCTTCAGTAGATGGATGGTAGGTACCAAGAACTCCCTATGAGCTTCCTGGTGGACAGTACAGCTCAACGTGAAATGCATGATAGCATTGCCACCATTTTCCTGTCCGCAGCTCGGACACATGTTGAGCGATCGTTCAACCAGTTGGAAGTATGAAGTTTAAGCAGCAGGTGCTTACCTCTCTGCGGGCCAATCAAGGTGGATTCTAGGCACTGAATGTATGAACTCAGACTCCAGGTAACGCTTTCCAGCAGCTGTCGTCCCAAGAGTTGCCTCATCAGCTATCTGTCAGACATTTGCCTTCAGCGGGGTGGGAAGATCTTTACGGGACAGCTTGTGACTTGCCAGCCACCTCCATGTTCTCAGGCTCCAAGTCCAATACCGTGGACCAGGCCTAGGCTGCACAAACTCCTACTATACTTAAAGAAGTGTTATAGAGGATTGGTTCATAAAATGTTTTGTAATGATTTCTCTTCTAAATGGACAGATCATCATGTATACTGATTCTTGTGGAAACTGGATGGTATTCGACGGCGTCTTCAGGACCAAAAGTGAATGTTTATACAGAGATATCACATAAAGCTTATTAGAATTGTATGAAAAAATGAGCAGAAGGAGGGCATTCAGCCATCAAACCTGTTCTGTCAGGTTTTCATTTGGTCAGACTAGTGTGTGACACATAAATAAATCCATCATTATGCTAGTATCTAGACCAGACAGAGTTTGATACGTGTGCACCTACACGTGAAAATTCCTATGTGTTGGAATGGAATGCGCACTCTCTTTCCCCACAGGGACACATCCTGCTTACCTAATTCAGCAGTGACACTCACGGTGACAGTATGACCCACAGGTCAGGTATTTTTTGTACTTAAGCCATCTTCTAGCAGGAAGCGTTCGTGATCAGGACTCCCACATCATGTCACTCATCACCTGCTGACCTCACTGGGTATGTGTACAGGAAGTCGGTCAGTACACAAGAAGTTGGCTATGCTAAAAATGGCCGACTTACAGGTCATCAGTTCACTGCTGATCTCACTTCCTACACACTGTGCACTTACAGTAAATAATGTCAGTAGTGACCTGATCAGCCCAAAGATGGACATTTTCTAATGTTGGCAAGGCAGCCGGTCTGTTTTTCCAAGTCAAATGTGGGTTTATTGAGCAGAACCCACATTATAAGCAAATTATAAGGGGGGCCTCGTATAAGAGGATTTTAGTTTACCACATTTGAAAAAGTTTTTGAATTCAAACACTGGATACTGTTTTCAGTTTTGCTCAATGTACATGACTACTTTACTACTTTTTCTTCTCCTTTTCCAGGTGATAGAAGTAAAGCTGGATATGATCGTCCCTATTCGGATGGCGAGGACTCGGATGGTCAGGATGAGGATGACAATGACGTAGAGGATGATGATGAAGACAGCCAAGGGGAAACTGGACTCTCAGCCAGTCCTTCAGTCACAGCTAGTCCTCAGCACCACATACAGAGACATGATCACCAGCTTGATACACTGAACGCTGCCTCTGCCTCTTTAATTGAAGATGTGGTGAGGATAGCAAAGGCGCCCATTGCACTGCATACTGCTAGCTTGGAGGTGCTGCCTGATGCTTGGTTCACACAGATTGCTACGGATCCTGGAACCAGCAAACTGAAATCAAAAACTGACTCAATCCATCAGCGTCTCACTGAAGAAGAGAACAGCAACCCAAAGACTTCCCCTGCAGCTAGAGATACAATGTCTGAGGATGATCACAGCTCTCCCAGCCACCTGCTCTCACCTAACAGACAGCAGGAAAATATCGGTCCAAAGGTATGTGGTCTATGTCAGGAAATGTAACCTTGTCCAACTCAAAAGCTCTGGCTATTTTAAGTAACTGCTGGTTTGTTGTATGGTAGACTTTACACTTTAGTTTAAGCAAATGTATTATCTTAGTAAAATATTGTATTAGAACCAAATATTGACATTTAATTTGTATTATGTTGTCATAAAATTGCATGTGGAATCTTGTTAGAATTCCTGCCAATCTATGGGAACTCTTTTCTGGGAGTGGATCATATTAGAGCATAGCTTCTGCTGGATAGTGAGACATGCTCACAATTACTGGAACTCATCCCTTTACATACTTGGTTCCTTACGAAAGAACCCTATTAAGAAATATCGCAAATTAGACCCCAGAATTTTATCTGAATTAAAAGCTTAAAATTCCTAACAAATTGGGTGATATACTTCTAAACAAGTTATCTTCATTTGACACTCTGTCCCAAGCTTTAAGAAAGCAAGAACCATTGAAAGACACTCGTTTGAAGAGTAGGAATAATAATAATAATCCTTGCATTTAGGCGTGCCCTGCATTGCCAGAGGTGCCGTCCTTTGCGTGAGACATTAAACCGGGGTCACACCTGCCTGTTCATGTGGCATTAAAGATCCCATGGCACTACTTAAAAAGAGGAGTGTCTTGCTGTGTCCTGGCCAACAATCTCCCAGATAAAATTAGACATTCATTTCATAAAATGCAAAATACTGCAGGATGCTGGCAATCTGAAACAAAAACAGAAGTCTCTGGGAACAGGTCAAGCAGCATCTATGGAGAAAGGAAAGTCAGTCAACGTTTCGGGTCCATGACCCTTCGTCATTTCATGGTTGTATTTGTAGGCAAACATGGAACTAATTTGCACACAGCAATCACTACATTTTGTAGTTGAAATCCTGTGAAGCACTTTGAGATGTCTTGACGACATGATAAGGTGCTATATCGAATGCCAGTATATATCGAATGCCAGTATTGTTATTATCTTTGTGGAAATGTAATGTTTGTCTCTGTTTGTTCTCAGGTACCATGCTCAATCCGCCTGTCGCCACATCCGCAACTAGGGTCGGCTTGGACTAATGATCCTCTGACAGCATCTCTCTCTCCTGCCTCCAGCTCCCGCAAGTCTGTGGGGCTACAGTACGAGGTATCAGATGAGGAGCCACCAATGAACATCTTCAGCCACCTCCCCCTTCATTCCCGACAGCAGAGCAGAATGCCATACAGCATGGTGCCAGTAGGGGGCATACAATTAGTTCCTGCTGGCCTAGCTGCTTACTCTACATTTGTACCCATCCAGGCTGGACCAGTGCAGCTCACCATCCCTGCTGTCAGTGTTATCCACAGGACAACAAGCCCTTCCTGCGACGAGGCCCTGCAAACAGAGGCCACGGCCAAATCTTTAGGTGTTTCGGAGATGAATACAGTTTTGCCATGTATTCCTTTTGGCCAAGTCAGTGTGTGTGGTTTGCACAGTATGAACACCTCAAGTTTACAAACTGTTGAGCCTTTGGGCCTGGAGACATTAAACATTTTATCGAGTTCAAATCTCGGTCCACAGATAAACCCTTCAGGCCTTGCACTTAACTCTGTTGGCCTTCAAATGCTAACCACCAACCCACAGAATCGAAGTACCCCTAGCCCAGGAGCACAAATACTGAACATGGCACCACCAGCTTTTATGCCATCAATGTTGGGAGAAATGGGTCAAAGTACTGAGACTCATTTTACCAACAAACTTTGTCAAACAAGGTCAGAACAGATTCCCATTAGCCTTCCTGTTACAGTTCACGTTAGCCAGATAACCTGCACATTATCCCCTCAGGTTTCTCCTCGAATTCAAGCTTGTTGTCCCAAGGACGTGTCAGACACTTCTGTCGCCTCGGAACACGGACAGCCACATAAAACCGGAGAAAGGCAAAGGTCTCAAGCCGATGGAATCAGCAAAACCAGCCATCGTCAGCCACACAATAACAAATCTGCCACAACAGACTCTGACACAGGGCAAGGCTTAAAGGGATACTCTGCAGAAGTGACCAAGTCTCCAGTCCGCCAGGCTGCTTCCCCAGAAAGAATTGTATCGAAGCCTGTGGGAACTACCCAGCGACGAGTCACTGTACAATACAGTGATGTCAGCAGTGATGATGAGGACAGACTAGTAATAGCAACATGAAGATTTCAGCAGGACCTTTTCATGCTATCACTTGACATTTAAAAAACAAACAATTAATGTTTTTTAACTGTACAAACTCTTTTCCTGAAAGCACACTTTCTGATATAGATATTCATGTTTGTGCAATCGTAAACTTAAGACCAACTTATAAGATGAACAATGTCTTTTTTTTCTCGTCCGCTCCAGCCATTTTTGTACATGTTGTATAGACAATTGTGCCTTTCAAGTTTCTCGTTTAGGAATTGTACAGACTATAAAATATATGAAAAGTAGTCGCTTGTGCTTACTAAATGATTTTTTTTTAAAAATTACAATGTGTGGTGTCATAGTAAGAAAGAAACTACATGTTGCACTGATAATGTAAATTTCTATGGCTATGGGGCAGTGTTTCTGTGTACAGGCGTAGATTGTATACTCATTTATATTTATTGTATCCATTTTGTGGTCTTGGCACATGACCAATTCTTTCATGTGCAAGGGAGTAGGTTTACATCCAGGGAAACTATCTCTCTAGAATAAACATGATCAAATGAGTTCTTTGTTGACAGAAATTGCTTTATTTATTTTCCTCTTTTCTCCCTTCGGTTTGTATTTTGGGTAAACGTAGCGAGCAGAAATGAAGGTATTATAAGGGTTTCTTTTGGAAAGAGCAGCAGTAAGCCACGTACCCTGGAAGGTTAGCTGATCATTGAATTAGCGGTTAGGGTCCTACAATTGGTGTTAGGGATGGAAAAGGGGAAAAATCAGCCAGGGTTCTTTCTCCTGATCTACCCCCGGGTAACTGCTGGAAGAGCACATGCAGGATATGATTGGTCTTGTCGACGATGCAATGGTAGCAATTTTAAGAGGTGTTCCTGACTTTATTCACGTATGTTTACAGAAAACAAGTGAAATCCCCTTTCTTTGGTATGTGAAAAATTCAAAGCTGTCCAATTTTCCCCAATGACTGAGCATGTGGTAGCTAAGAAAAAAAGAGGATTATTGAAAAGCCTCCATCCGTGCACACTGAATAGAGTGCACCCTTTATTGTTTGGAGTCTAAACCCTGCAGAACCCAGTAACATTCTGCTGAGCTGCTAATGAATGAAATGGAACACAATTTAGATATCAATTAGCAGCTGCCCATGTAAATCTACAGAAGGCAAAACAAGAGATTATTACTCAATTTCTTTGCTCACCGTTATCTCCAGCAGACACTGAATACATCAGCGATGTTTCTGTTTAATGTTAAGCAGTGATATTGCTTTATTAACCTAACATCAATTATAGGCTGTTAAGTAAATCACTTTCAAGGCACTTTAAAATCCATCTTATCAGATGGCTACTGATTCCTGAGTTGTTGATAAAACCACTCTGCTTGATTTAACCAACATTGTACTTGACCTTTTTCTAATCTAAGTACACGCAAAGGCTATTTAGCGACAGTAAACAGTTGTGTCGAAAACAATTAAAACTCTCAGCAAAATTACTGAGCAGTTTTAACAACTGCCAACAGTTGGTGCCTTGGTTGGTGTGTGCAATGCCCAGATCAGTTATTTAGATCAAGGTGGTCCTGAGTTTCGTCTGTGCTGATTTAGGTAGCATTTAGAGCTCTACAATTTGAGAGGTGCTCCCAATGTGAAATGTGTTATATCAAGGGCAATGATTATTATTATATATAGCTCCTTATCAGTTCTTTGAGACTTCTCAGGCAATTGTGCACAGCAGTGTCCCACAATCGGTCGTGGATTGAAGTGACCAATTTTTTTTTGAAGGAATGATTACCCCCGGAAAAGCGATCTGCCAATTGACTAACGACTGGGTTCCTACTTTGTGGAATCCTGTAGCTCAATGGTTAGAGCACTTGCCTGGCAAGCGAGAGACCTGGGTTCGATTCCCAGCAGGGCGAAACCCAGGGTTTCCTTACTCTACATGCCCGATAATAATCCCTCAAACAAAACAATCAAATAAACAAATAAACAGTCAATTCACTTTAAATCTATTCTGTGAAGCGCTTTGAGACGTCTAGAAGATGTGAAAAGTGCTATATCAAATTCAAGGATTATTATTACTTACTGCTAGGTAAACAGAGGCGTGTTGAGCAATAATATATATAATAATAATAATCCTAAGGAAACTTGGCCAACGTTTCACCCTGTCCAGGAATCAAACCCAGGTTCTCCTGCTTGTGAAGCGAGTGCGTAATCTAAGCATTATTATTATTACAATTGGCTTCAGCATTTCATCTCTTAGGAGAAAATCAACCTGGGTTCTCCCTTAATAATAATAATAATAATCCTTGCATTTGGTATAGCGCTTTTCACGTCGGGAGGACGTCCCAAAGCGCTTCACAGAACACACTGTAAAGTGAATTGACTGTATATTTGTGGGCGAACGCGGCAGCCAATTGCGCACAGCAATGTCCCACAAACAGTCGTGGATTGTAAATGACCAATTTATTATTATTTTTGGTTTTGGAGGGATGTGGAGTGTGGAGTAAGGAAACTTGCCCAAGGTTTTGCCCTGCCTGGAATTGAACTCAGGTCTCTCACTTGCAAAGCGAGTGCTCTAACCACTGAGCTACAGGACTCCACAGGTTGAGCAGTGATCTAACATGATATTACCACTTCAGAGGATGAGGGAGAGAAAGATGGACCTTAGAAACCTAATAATCAGTGTCAATACTTCAAGACCTATAATGATCAGCACAAGCTCTGATCTCTCCAGTTATTTCCTTATGTGGAAAGCAGCTTAAATTCAGAGGAAATGCAAAAGACCCTGAGGTTAAAAGACGAGCATTAAGGCTGCAAGGCATATTCTTTTGTTGGTCAGCTGGATATCTGACACGTGGAAACCCATCACCTGACATAACTCTCTTAACCAAACTATGTATATGGTATTGTATGTCTGGATATGGAATACACACTCTTTTCAAGAGGGGGACACCTTTCTTACCTAGTCTTGGAGAATATTAGGCACAGTTGGCAAGATCTAAGGAGTGGGGAGTGCAGATTGCGTACCAACAACTCCTAGTAGCAAATAGGGGAATTCCTTTGGTAACCAGAAGTGTATGGACACCAATCAAAAGGAGCTCTACTCTAACACAATCTACAGGCTGTCCACAAAGTCCTGTTATCTCCATGTTTTTTCTCTACAGTTCACTGACCAACAACTGAAATATGTGGAAGAATGATGATAATTGTATTTAGAAGTACTTAATTGTATCCAGTACAAATGTTTATTCACCGACCCACAACCATGGCCATGCCCTCAACCTCGTCATCACCCACGGCCTTGACATTTCTGACCTTAGCATAGTGGACAAGGCCATCTCGGACCACTTCCTCATTTCCTTCTCTTCTCACATCCCTCTCTCCTCCACCAAGCCCTCAACCATACTCTACCCCCCATGGAAAAGACTACCCCCTGAGACCCTCACAAAAGCCCTCACATCCTCCAATATCCTATCCCTCTGGCCTTCCACCTGCAGAGATCCTGAAGCAGCTGTCCAGCTGCTCCATGATCACCTCGCCTCCACCTTCAACTCTCTCGTCCCCCTGCAATCCAGGACCATCTCCAAACCCACCGGATCCCCCGGTATAACAATCATCTCCGCTCCCTAAAAACCCAAACCTGCCTGCTCGAGTGCAGATAGCAGAAAACTGTCCTGACAGTTCACCACCAACTGTGGCTCGAGCATTTCCACAGCTATCACCGTTCTTTGACGCGTGTGAAAACGGCCTTCTACTCCAACATCATCTTGGAGGCAAAAAACAATCCCAAAGTCCTTTTTTACACCACCCACTACCTCCTCTGTGCGCCCCCTCAGGCCTCCTCAATATTCACATCTAATGCCAAGTGCAAGGAGGTCATGGACTTCTTTTCAACCAAAATACATAATATCCGCCAGGCAGCCTCATCCTCCTGCCTCTTGTCACCCACCATCACCCCCTCTCCTTCCCCCTCACCCTCTCCATCATTAGCTCCTACCACGACCCCCATCCTACATTCCTTCCTCCCCATCTCTCCTTCCTCCCTCTCACCCACCATCACTTCAATGAAACCCACCACCTGCTGCCTCGACCCCCTCCCCACCAACTTGCTGGTCATCCAGGTCCCCCTCCTCTGCCCACTACTGGTTGATGTCATCAACCAGTTCCTCTCCTCTGGATCAGTCTCTACCCTCCTCAAGACTGCTACCATCACCCCCTTCCTCAAAAAAGCTTCCCTAGATCCCTCAGACCCCAACCACTACCGTCCTATTTCAAACCTGCCCTTCCTCGCCAAAATCCTAGCAACACATTGTTGCCAATCAACTTTGCGCACACCTTTCCTCCCATTCCCTCTTCGAACCCCTCCAGTCTGGCTTCCACCCTGCCCACAGTACAGAGACTGCGCTTGTGAAAGTCACAAACGACATCCTCTCTTTCTATGACCAGGGGTCCCTATGCCTCCTTGTCCTCCTGGACCTCCCCGCCGCTTTTGACACAGTCGATCACGCCATCCTCCTCCTCCGCCTTTCCTCCGTCATCCACCTCAGTGGGACCGCACTCACCTGGTTCGACTCCTACCTCACAAACCACCAGCAGTACATCTGCACAAATGGCTTTTCTTCCCACTCTCACCCGGTTACCTGCGGGTACCCCAAGGATCCATCCTTGGCTCCCTCCTCTTCCTAATGTATGTGCTCCCCCTTGGGGATGTCATCCGCAGACACTTCCACATGGATGCGGATGACACCCAACTCTATTTTTTCCACCTCACTTTGCGACCCCCAGTCCCCTGATGTTCTGTCAACCTGCCTGTCAGACATCAGGAGCTGGATGAGTGAAATGTTGACAAGACAGCAGCCATACTCTTTGGCTCTCGTCAACGTCTAAAATTGCATGGTTCTCACCTCCTCCACCTACCTGATCTCCCCCTAAAACTCTCCAAACCCGTACGCAATCTAGGCGTCAGGTTTGACCCCCAATTATCCTTCCTCCCCCACATCCAGTCCCTCACCAGCACAGCTTCTTCCAACTCCAACGAATCACCTATCTCCGCCAATACCTCACTCCAAATGCCGCCGAAACCCTGGTCCATGCCTTTGTCACCTCTCGGCTGGACTATTCATATGCCCTCCTCACCGGTCTCCCCTCCACTACCATTCATAAAATCCAGGTCATCCAGAATTCTGCCACCCGCAATCTTACCCGCACCAAACTCCGCTCCCTGATTACCCCAGTCCTTGCCAGACTGCACTGGTTGCCTGTCCCTGAGAGGATCGATTTCAAGATCCTCACTCTTGTCTTCAAATCCCTCCACTCCTCTGCACCCCCCTACGTCTCTGACCTCCTCTCTCCTCACAACAGTGCCCGTTATAATAATAATTATCCTTGCATTTGATATAGCGCTTTTCACGTAGGGAGGACGTCCCAAAGCGCTTCACAGAACACACTGTAAAGTGAATTGACTGTATATTTGTGGGCGAACGCGGCAGCCAATTGCACACAGCAATGTCCCACAAACAGTCGTAGATTGAAAATGACCAATTTATTATTGTTTTTGGTTTT